AGGCAGAGGGAGAAGCAGGCTCCCCGCCAAGCAAGGAGCCCGATATGGGACTTGATCCCAGGACGCCGGGATCATGACCCGAGCCGAAGGCAGCTGCTTAACCAACTGAGCCACCCAGGCGTCCCGGAAAGATTTTGCTTCTAAAACAGACTGTGTATATTAGGGTATGCTGAAGCCTTTATTGTGTGTCTGGTCATGATCTCCTTTAGACCTTTCCACTGACCTGCATGGCAGCCTTTGGGAACTCTTCCTCAGATGCTGGTTTGGCCTGGGAAGATTGGTTTCTGCTCTCAATGTCCATCTGCTGAGGAAAATATTTGTTATGGCTCTTCACCTCAGTTCTTTATTCAAAAACTGTTTTTAAAATTTTAAAATTTGAAATTCGAAGTATGAAGAAGTAAAACATACATATGGTAAATAACTAAAACAATACAATAGGTGTCTATAATTGGTCAGTTTCCCTACTACCACTTTCTCCTAATTTAGTTCCTTTTTATGAAGGCCAGCACTTTCAGAAGGTGGAGGAGGGACAGTATCTTCCAAACTGAGAAGGCCTACCTCTGAGCAGGGAGCCTGACGCGGGGCTCGATCCCAGGACCCTGAGATCATGACCTGAGCCAAAGACAGACATTTAACCGACTGAGCCACCCAGGCACCCCTAAGATTTTATTTTTAAGTAATCTTTACACCCAGTGGGGGGCTTGAACTCATCACTGCAAGGTCAAGAGCTGCATGCTCCACTGACTGAGCCAGCCACGCACCTTTCCCTGGTAATATTTTTTGCTTTAAAATCTACATTGTCTAACATTACTATAGCCACTTTGGCTGAATTCTCCCTCTTTCCCTTTTTATTGAAATGTAATTCAAATCCCAGTAATTTCACCATTTTAAAGTACGTGATTATTGGAAATTGTTTGTCATCTGAAATACTGTCTCTCCTAGAGAATGTTCTAGGTGTACTTGAGAAGAATATGTATTTTCTTGTTGGTGGTAGATTCTGTATGTTTGCTATGTCTAGTTGGTTTATAGTGTTTTTCAAACGTTCTACTTTCTTGTTTATCTTTTGTGTAATTATTCTTTCCACTGTTGAAAGTAGGATGTTGTGCTCTCTGTTTGTTACTACTGAATTATATATTTCTGCGTTCAGTTCTGTCAGAGTTTGCTACATAACTTCTGGGCTTATTGCATCTACATTTATAATTGTTATATCATGTCGATAAATTGCCTTTTTATTATTATATAATATCCTTTGTCTCTTGTAACAGCTTTAAAAAAATTTTTTTTTTTTAAGATTTTATTTATTTATTTGACAGAGAGAGAGATCACAAGTAGGCAGAGAGGCAGGCAGAGGGAGAGGGGAAGCAGGCTCCCTGCTGAGTAGAGAGCCCGATTCGGGGCTCAATCCCAGGACCCTGGGATCATGACCTGAGCCGAAGGCAGAGGCTTTAACCCACTGAGCCATCCAGGCGCCCTCTTGTAACAGTTTTTGTTTTAAATTTATTTTCTGTGGGTGCCTGGGTTCCTCAGTCAATTAAGCGGCTGCCTTTAGCTCAGGTCATGATATCGGATCCTGGGATCGAGCCCTCTGTTGGGCTCTGCACTCAGCAAGAGGTCTGCTTCTCCCTCTCCTCTGCCCGTCCTCCCCCACCCCATTCTCTCTCACAAATGAATAAATAAAATCTTTTTTAAAAAATAAAGTTAATTTTGTGTAATACTAGTATAGTTTCCTTAATTGTGTTTTGGTTACCATTTGAATGAAATACCTTTTTCCATTCCTTCACTTTCAGCTTATTTATGTCTTTGGTTCTTTTTTTTAAAAGATTTTATTTATTTATTTGACAGAGAGAGATCACAAGTAGGCAGAGAGGCAGGCAGAGAGAGGGGGAAGCAGGCTCCCTGCTGAGTAGAGAGCCGAATGTGGGGCTTGATCCCAGGAGCCTGAGATCATGAGCTGAAGGCAGAGGCCCAACCCACTGAGCCACCCAGGCGCCCCATGTCTTTGGTTCTAAAAGTGAATTTCTCCTCTTGATTGTGCCCATTTCTCAGATTTTCCTTGTTTTTGATGACCTTGACAGTTTTTTATTCTTTCAAGATTTTATTTGTCAGAGCACAAGCAGGGGGAGCTGCCGGCAGAGCAAGTAGAGGGAGAAGCAGGCTACCCTCTGACCAAGGAGCCCCACACAGGGCTCGATCCCAGGAGCCTGGGATTATGACCTAAGCGGAAGGCAGCAGAAGGCAAACACTTAACCAACTGAGCCACCCAGGCATCCCGACCTTGACAGTTTTGAGGAGAACTGGTCAGATACTTTGTAGAGTGCCCCTCAATTGGATTTTGTCACTTGTTTTTCTCATGATCAGACTGCAGCTACGTGTTTAGGGGAGGAAAACTACAGAAATAAAGTACCATTCTCATCACATCACAAGGGTACATATGTAATACTATTTATCACTATTCATATTACCGTTGATCACCTGGCTTGAGGTAGTGTTTGTCAGTTTTCTTGATTGTAAAGTTGCTTTCGCCCCCTTTCCATACTGTGCTCCTGGGAGAAAGGTCACTGTGCCGCTGAGACTTAGCCAATGGGAAGTATTGCTCCATGTCCATGAAGGTGAAGTAGCTATGTAAATCAGGCTTTTTCTGCATAGGGGCTGTGTCTGTTCTCCCCTCATTTATCTGCTGAATAATTTGTTTATATCAGTATAGACTGCTGGATGTTTATTTTATACTTGGGTTATAATCCAGTACCACTCTGTTTATTCTGTTGGTCCTGTTGTTTTCAGCTTTTGCAGCCCTTTCAGTTGGTTCTTTAACTTTGACATACTTCCATCATTGTGGTTTCCTTGAGTACTTTCTTTTTTTTTTTTTTAATATTTTATTTATTTATTTGACAGACAGAGATCACAAGTAGGCAGAGAGGCAGGCAGAGAGAGAGAGAGAGGAGGAAGCAGGCTCCCTGCAGAGCAGAGAGCCCAATGTGGGGCTCGATCCCAGGACCCTGGGATCATGACCTGAGCCGAAGGCAGAGGCTTAACCCACTGAGCCACCCAGGCGCCCCTCCTTGAGTACTTTCTTACTTTCAGCAATTAATAAGATGCTTCAGGGTCATCTTTTATATATTTTCTCTAGTCCTAGAATTAGCCATTTCTCCAAGGGATCCTGATTACTTTTGTAGAGAATGATAATAGAAACCAACATCTGGGTGGTTTGTTGTTACTGTGGGTTAGAAGGCTTTTGTTTTTTCTTTTTTAAGATTTTATTTATTTTAGGGAGAGTGAGCGAGTGAGCAGGGAGAGGAATAGAGGAAGAGGGTGAGGGCAGCCTTTCTGCTGAGCGGGGAGCTGATGTGGGGCTCAATCCCACAACCCTGAGATCACACCCTGAGATCATGACCTGAGCTGAAACCAAGAGTTGGACACTCAACTGACTGAATCACCTAGGTGCCCTGGAAGGTTTTTGCTTCAATTTTTAATTTTTTATTGCTCTCTCAGCTCTTTTAGAGGAATTGGGAATTGTTTGTCATCTGAAATACTGTCTCTCCTAGAGAATGTTCTAGGTGTACTTGAGAAGAATATGTATTTTCTTGTTGGTGGTAGATTCTGTATGTTTGCTATGTCTAGTTGGTTTATAGTGCACTTTTGTTGCACTTGTTTTGTTGCACAGACTCTTTTAGAGCTGAGTCTGCTGATTTTTAAAGTTCCAGTTGTTAAGCACCTCTGGTGGTAAGAACTCGTGAAATTCAGCCCTTATGCTTTTCAAAGCCAAATGTAATGGGGATTTGTCTTCCCAGTCTTCTGTGTGGGTTCCCTGTGCCTGGGATGCCTGGTGTGACGGTCTGTTTTTCTCCCCTCGCAGTACCCAGTACCTGCAGCATCGCTCCCTCCCATGGTCAGCCCTGCGGTTCCATTTAGCTCCCCACCATTTCTCTTTCCTTCTTGCTCTCCTCAGTGTGGCCTCTTCTCTACATTTCCCTGTGGAGAGTCTTTTCTGTCAGTCTTCAGGTAATTTTCTGGGTTATTTACACTGATGGGTGTTACCTAGTTGTATCTGTGGGATGAGGTGAGGGCAGGGTCCTCCTACTCTGCCATCTTCCCTGGAAGTCTCTTTTGTTTAGTCCCTGTTTAGAAGTCTCTGTTTGTTTAGAAGTCTCTGTTTCAAATGGAGGTGAGGCATTTAGTATATTCACAATTTTGTGCAACCACCACCTCTATCTAGTTCTGAAATACTTCTGTCATTCCAGAAGAAAACTCCATACCCATTAAGCAGTTAGGCTCCTTAGCTACTCCCTCCCTTCCTGGTAATTACCATTTTGCATTCTGTTTCTATGGATTTACCCATTTTAAATATTTCATATATATCGAGTCCTACAATATGTGAGGTTTTGTGCTTGGCTTTGTTCACTGAGCATAATCTTTTCAAGGTTGATCTGCATTATAGCATGTATCAGTACCTCATTCCTTTTTATGGCTGAAGAATATTCCTTCGTGTGTGCATACATCTGCGTGTGTGCCTGTATGTGTGTACATACCACATGTGTTTATCCATCCATTTATAGTCGAACATTTGAACAGCTAAATGTTGAGCTGTTTTGGCTGTTGTGAACAGTGCTGCTACAAATAATCATGTACAGCGTTTGTTTGAATGCCTGTTTTCAGTTCTTGTGGGCATATACCTAGGAGTGGAATTACTGGGTCATGTGTAAATTTTGTTTCAACTTTCTGAGGGACAGCCAATCTGTTTTCCACAGTGACTGGACCATTTTTACCTTCCCACTAGCAATGCATGAGGGTTCCAATTTCTCCATATGCTCACGGTGATGGAAAGGTTTTTAAGTAGGAGCATGTGTTTTATTGAGAGCACTCTGGCTGCCAGGTAGAGACTAGATGGTAGGTGGGAAGGGCGGAAGCAGGGGGACCAGTTGCCCTGGTAAGTGATGATGATGACTTGGACTGGCATGGTAAGAGAGAAGCAAACAGATGGGCGAGGTGTTCTTGAGGTGGAATCAAAAGGACTTGGTCTGTTGGTGAAGGAGAGGAATCAAGAATGATTCTAGGTCTGGCTAGGGAACCTGAGTGAATTGTATTGCCATTTACTGAGCTGGGATTGACTATGGGAGGTATGGCCTGGGGAGAAATTAAGACCTAAGTTTGGACAAGAGGCTGAAGGTAATAGTGTGATTTGGCCTTTATTTTATAGGGTGCTGCCCCTTGCTGTGAGACAAGCCCAGTATCTGGCTTTTCTTCCCCTACCTGGTCTTTGTGTCCACAATCTGAATTCTTTTGGTTCCAGAACAGACATTGGGCACAAGGCATAGAGTCTTTGCCTGATGTAGAGATCATAGTTGTGTTTTTCAGTATCCCTCTTGCATACTTTTCTGGGGCTCTTTGTATATATTGGTCTCCTGACTGTTTGGCTTAGCTTTCCTCCTCCGGCCACTTGGCATGGCCTGTAATTCCTAAGCTGGAACCCAGATCATTTGGTACCCTATTCATGGAATTGCCAGGCTCTCCTGTGCTCTTTTCCAACCAGCTTTTAGCATTTGGACTCTGCCCCTCATTGTTTAGGAGGAGGTTGGATTCTATCCCCTGTGTGATTTCCATATTGGGCTAAGGGGCAAAAAAGAAAGCACTTGGAAGGGGGCACCTGGGTGGCTCAGTGGGTTAAGCCTCTGCGTTCAGCTCAGGTCATGATCTCAGGGTCCTGGGATCGAGCCCCACATCAGGCTCTCTGCTCAGAAGGGAGCCTGCTTCCCTCTCTCTCTCCCCACCTGCCTCTCTGCCTACTTGTGTTCTCTCTCTCTCTGTGTGTCAAATAAATAAGTAAAATCTTTAAAAAAAAAAAAAAAAGAAAGCACTTGGAGGGCACCTGGGTGGCTCAGTGGGTTAAGCCTCTGCCTTCGGCTCAGGTCATGATCTCAGGGTCCTGGGATCGGGCCCCGCATCAGGCTCTCTGCTCAGCCGGGAGCCTGCTTCCCCCTGATTCTCTCTTTGCCTGCCTGTCTGCCTTCTTGTGATCTGTCTGTCAAATAAATAAATAAAATCTTTAAAAAAAAAAAAAAAGAAAGAAAGCACTTGGAATTGGAGAGGAAAGGAAAGAAGGGTAGAAAAGTCTTTTTTTTTTTTTTTTTTTTTTAAGATTTTATTTATTTGTTTGACAGAGAGAGCACACAAATAGGGGGAGCGGCAGGCAGAGGGAGTAAGGGAGAAACAGGCTCCTTGCTGAGTGGGGAGTCTGATGTGGGCTCAAACCCAGGACCCTGGTATCCTGACATACGCTGAAGGTAGAAGCTTAACGGTTGGGCCACCCAGGTGCCCTGAAAAGTCTTAATCATTGTCAAGATTGTCCCGTAGTGCACAAGATAAATTAACCCTGGGTTTGTTGCCTCATCATTCATACTATTATTTTTATGTCCCTAGTAAATAGTGCTTTTACTAGTCATAAACAAAAGACGAAATTCCTGTTTCTATGAATTGAAGACAAAGGAGTCTTTTTTTTTTTTTTTGCATGAAAACAGGTTAATTATTAAAGAAGTGATTACAGAATGCCAAAAATTGCTGGATTCTTGCTTTTGTTGCACTTGTTAATTCAAGATAATGTTGGTGAGATTCCGAAGAATAGTTGGCATGTTCAGAACACTATTCTACTTGGCTTTTTAATGATAAGGATGTCCTTGGCTCAATATTTCTTAGAGAAGTTTTAGAATGCTTTCATTCTGGAAAATTCTCTGGCATCAGGTATGCTGGGTTTAGTTTGCTGCCTGAAGATCGTTCTGTGAGGAGATGAAAGACAACTAATTATACTCAAATACATAAGCTGACTATAGGCATGGACTGAGCTAGCCAGTGCACTCTATCCCCCGCCCACAGTGCTTGCTTCAAGGAAGGAACAAGTCAGGTTAATGGGAGTCCCAGAGGTTATTTCTGGGTGATTGTTGTTTGAACTATTCCAGAAAGATATGGAGAGTGAAGCTCTTGGTAGGTAGAGACCTCCATGTACAGCCAAAGTACACCCCACCTAGAAATAGTAGAGCCAAGTGATGAATTCTGGTATCATCATTTAGGCCCTGAATCAGGCCACTGCTGAAGCTAGTCTCATCCCTGGATGTTCATTGCCTATAATTTTATCGTTGTTGCATAAGCCAGTTCTGGTTGGGCTATCATTTGTAGCTGGAACACAGTTGATGTTCATCTAATCCAATCCCTTGACTCAAGGCTGACTTCGGGAGGCTAACTGATATGTCCAAGGCCACTCAGAGCCATGGAGTACAGGTGCAGGTAAGAGCAGGAGGCAGAAAACCAACACTGAGGTAAATGCTGATTTACTCTGCTCTATACTCTGGTAGTTGATTTGGCCATAGATCCAGGGAAATTTGGGGGTTAAGTAAAAACATGAATATACAACTTCTGAGATTTGAGCCAAAATGAAAGAAGTTATTTTCCCAGTTGGGTTACATACTTGATAAGCATGTTTATCAAGAATGAAACATCTAAGGGTGATGGAGATTCTGAACTTATTTGCTCTCTCAGATATCTTCTCTTGTTCCACTCTCATCAGTTACTGTTTTTCTGGTGACAGATTTAAATAAAAATCCCATTCTTTTACCTGTTTCTTAGGAAGCAGGTTCTCTTTGAAATTTTCTCTGGTTTTAAGGTTAGATAGATAGATGGGAAGAAGGAGGGAAATGAGAGTCAGGGTGGCAAAGAGTGAAAGGCTCTAGCATACAGAAGTCAGGGATATGTGGTAGGAGTCTTTCCAAAGAAGGGACTGAGGCATAGTCAGAAAAGTATGAGAGTCCTCATGGGGATGGATAGATTATTTGCCTGCATATAACCAAGAGTGTCTCAGTTTTAGGTCCTGTGACTAAAGGGACAGTAGGCAATGAATCCACCTAGGAAAGAGTGGGGAGTTTGGTTGGAGCTGATACGGCAGCCTGGAACAGACTGAGGCTGAGGCCCACTGGCCCCATTCGTATTCCTGTGAAGTTTGAAGTACAGAGTAGGCCTTAGTGCAAAAGGGAAATATTTATATTTCTCTCTTACCGATTTAAGTACTTCAACCTTGGCTTTGGTTAGAGAATTTGAGGTTATTCCTGGTGGCACATTCCATATACTTGTCAGTTCTAAAATAAAGAAGAATTTTATGATACAAGTTGAAAAAAAACAATGATCTCGTTGGGTTGTTTTAGCCACAATCAACTGGCAGGATCTCTGGTCAGTGTATAGCTCTAGGAGAACTTGTTCCCATGCCCATTCAATGGACAGGTTCTAGACATAGACTCTCATACTCTTGTGTGTGTGTATGGGTAAGTTTGCAAGGATCAGAAATGACCCTAGAAATAACTGGAAACCTGGTGGGTATTCTATGTTCAGAGAATAAGTATTAAGAGACATGTAGGCATATCTGCCTTCACTAACTTAAGAAGACTAAAAGACCCTACTATTTTGGTGTTATTTGCAATATTTTGAACCCCTCTAGAGTTCATCACAAGTATGTACAGGTGGTATTCTGTACCATCATCTCTGGATGGTTGTGAAGTTCATGATCTCAGTCTCAAGTGACTCAAACTCCAGCATCTCTGTGACTAGGTGATCCAGGTCCATGTTTCCTCTAAGTGGTATGATGATGTTGGTCCTGAAAACCCCCTAGTGGGCAAGATTTCATTAGGACCTATAGAAGAGGCATTTAGATTTAATTTTCATGTTTTGGCATCTCAAGATTCTGAAGTCCCTATCTGAAGACGAGAAGTGATTTTCAGTCTGGATGGTGATTGAAAGATACTGTGCTCAGTACCAGAGTACATTCTGTAGTGTGGTTTCACAGTCTTGTCCCTTATGACTCTTCTAAGTGTTTACATTACTAATTCCACATACCGTTAATGGCAGACAAAACTTTCTTCAGAACCACGGGCATTATATCTTGCACCTCATCCTCCTGGAAGAGATGGGAAGAGCATTTTTTCAGTGTATCTTGGGTGCCTCTGACATGTGGGTTCAGTGGAAGTCTGTTACTGAACAAGACTAGGTGGAGAGGTGGAACTCAGTCAATCCCTTGGGCCTCTTCTGCCTTAGGGGTTTTGCAAAGCCTTTCAGTAGGTTTTGATACCTTAGGTGGCTCTTTGAACAAATGTTTATTGGGTTCCTATTATGTTCCAGACAGTGCTGTAGTCACAGCGGTGCAGGATATTCTTAAGACAGATGCTGAATTCAGTATTGGGAAGGCCTGGTTGTTTCTGAGTCTGCCTCCTCTGTATCCCCTTCTAGGATCTCCCCAAATTTGCTTCTCTCTGCTGACATTCTACTTAACTTTCCCCTCTTCAAAAGGCCTATGATGCCGTGATGCCTACTTTTGATGCATCCTGTTTCCTCTGCCTGGTACCCACTTTGGGTACCAAAGTAGTAAACCGCTCCTCCTTCAAGGTTAAGTACAGACATCATCTTCTCAGGGAACTCACTGTCTGCCTCCTAGTTGGTGGTCTCTACTCTGTCATCTTCATGCTAAATCGACAACTTTCTGCATAAATCTTGTGTCTTCTGTCAGGTGGATAGTTATACAAGGTTAGGGACCGTGCCTTCCACAGTCCGTCCCCTGCACAGAGCCTGGCATGTCTACACAGCTGCCCAGCAGTAAAGATGAGATGAAGGATCACTGGGCTTGCGACACTCCCAGAGTCTGTCTCTCAACTGACTCCTCTTTATCTCAGGGCTGACATAGAAGAACAGCAACTGTAGTCACCCATAGCCATAAGGTTGTTCACTTCTGGGTGCCCAGTGTATATGCCTCTACAGTGTATGGCTACTTGACTCTTCAAGATTTACCTGATTCATTAATGATTTTAATTTGTCTCTGTCTTACCACTTAAACTTGAGAGTCACTCTTGGAGTCAGGGATCTCATCATTGTTGTATCCTAGGGCTGGGCACATAGTGGTGCTCACTAAACATTTGTTGAATAACGGCATGAACATGTGTAAGACCAGGTATCTTAAAGGGCGTGTGGTTGGGGAACTTCCTATGAATTTCCTGGAGCCCACTTGCTGGGCCCTACCCTCACTTTCCCATTTCCCCACTTCCCAGGTTCTCATCTGGTGATCCATGTGCTCATTCCGTAGAACGTGGGTTGAGAACCACTGATGGGAAGGGTGAGGCCGTGGGAGGCTGGGTATATTTTTGAGCAGCCCCCATGAGCCCATGCAAGATTAGAATCTAGCTTACCTTTTCATCCTTCCAATGGACCCTAGAACTTCCTTGTATATCAGAATCACCCAGGACACTAAAAAAGCGTGGATTTAGGACTTCCTGGGGTCACTGACTGAATGTGGGACTCCAATAATGGGCTTTGGGAACTAGTTTTAAGAACTCTCCAGAGAGGGCTTAGGTTTGGAACCTATAGTGCCATTCCACATTGCATGTGTGATCTAGTCTGTGTGACCTTTTCCTTCCAGAGTCTCTGTGTCACTGAGCATCTGGCCCTAAAGTAATTTCTCACATATAGATATTTTGAAAATTGAATCCACTTACAGCCTCAGGGGGTGTCACCGAGTGTTCAGAGCTGTCAGGAAACAGTACAAGGAAAAATTATTTTCACATAAAAAATATTAACCAATTGTAGAGTTTAGGTATTAAGTCACTTCTTAAAGCCACTTATAAAATGTCAGATACAGAGGAGAAATAAATTTTAAGGTGAGTAAAGCTCCATTTTCATTTTCCTATAATTATGCATGTGATTTCAGTTGTGTTCTTTTTTTTTTAAAGTGTTTTTTTTTTTTTTTAAGATTTTATTTATTTATTTGACAGACAGAGACCGCAAGTAGGCAGAGAGGCAGGCAGAGAGAGGGGGAAGCAGGCTCCCCGCTGAGCAGAGAGCCCGATGCAGGGCTCTATCCCAGGACCCTGGGATCACGACCTGAGCCGAAGGCAGAGGCTTTAACCCACTGAGCCACCCAGGCACCCTCAGTTGTGCTCTTGATAATTTGTTTCTATACTGACAAATGACAGGATTAGTAGTTACAGACAGTACCTCTTAACCTTGATGTTTGGTATCAGTTTGTCTTTCAAAATCTTGCAGTCATGGGAGAGGATCAAGGTCTGCATTCATAGAAAACAAACATGAGTTAAAAATAATATCTTGGGGAAGCAAGGGCAAAAATGAACTATTGGGATTTTATCAAGATCAAAAGCTTTTGCACAGCAAAGGAAACAGTTAACAAAACCAAAAGACAACTGACAGAATGGGAGAAGATATTTGCAAATGACATATCAGATAAAGGGCTAGTGTCCAAAATCTATAAAGAACTTAGCAAACTCAACACCCAAAGAACAAATAATCCAATCAAGAAATGGGCAGAGGACATGAACAGACATTTCTGCAAAGAAGACATCCAGATGGCCAACAGACACATGAAAAAGTGCTCCATATCACTCGGCATCAGGGAAATACAAATCAAAACCACAATGAGATATCACCTCACACCAGTCAGAATGGCTAAAATGAACAAGTCAGGAAATGACAGATGCTGGCGAGGATGCGGAGAAAGGGGAACCCTCCTACACTGTTGGTGGGAATGCAAGCTGGTGCAACCACTCTGGAAAACAGCATGGAGGTTCCTCAAAATGTTGAAAATAGAACCACCCTATGACCCGGCAATTGCACTGCTGGGTATTTACCCTAAAGATACGAACGTAGTGATCCGAAGGGGCACGTGCACCCAAATGTTTATAGCAGCAATGTCTACAATAGCCAAACTATGGAAAGAACCTAGATGTCCATCAACAGATGAATGGATAAAGAAGATGTGGTATATATACACAATGGAATACTATGCAGCCATCAAAAGAAATGAAATCTTGCCATTTGTGACGACGTGGATGGAACTAGAGGGTATCATGCTTAGCGAAATAAGTCAATCGGAGAAAGACAACTATCACATGATCTCCCTGATATGAGGGAGAGGAGATGCAACATGGGGGGTTAAGGGGGTAGGAGATGAGTAAATGAAACAAGATGGGATTGGGAGGGAGACAAACCTTATAAGTGACTCTTAATCTCACAAAACAAACTGAGGGTTGATGGGGGGAGGGGGGTTGGGAGAGGGGGGGTGGGATTATGGACATTGGGAAGGGTATGTGCTATGGTGAGTGCTGTGAAGTGTGTAAACCTGGCGATTCACAGACCTGTACCCCTGGGGATAAAAATATATGTCTATAAAAAATAAAATAAAAAATAATATCTTGACGTGGCCAATCTGCAAACGTATCCCATTGTGATATGACCAGCAAGATCATAGGGAAGGACGAGCGGAGACTACCTGGTCTCAGGAGACAACCTATTTATCTCTTCTGCCCTGGTGGCTGAGCCCACCAGCCTCCCTTGTCTTAGGGACACCCAGGCACTTGGGCCTGCAGGGATTTGATGTTAGCTCCCTTTACCATCCAGACCACTCTTCTTTCTTAACCTTCGTTCCTGTTAGTTCCTCCTCTCAGCTCAATCCTGATTTGTTACTCAGTGCTTACCGTTTTCCCAGTAGCAAAACTATCACCATCCTTTTCCACAGTGACCCAGTAGGTGGCTTGGATTTGGTTTCCTGACTGGAAGGAGTAGACTATTTTGGTGATGCTTGCAGCCAGGTTATTCATCTGTTGTAAAGAAGTCATCATTTAAAATATGGAGAGGAAGAAGGACTGCAGAATGTTGCCTAGTGAGATATTCGGGCATCACTCAGTTCATTTATTCAATATTTATTGGCCCTCTAGTACGAGTTGCTCACCTAGTAGGTCTAATTCCAGATATTTTCCTATAGGTCATTTCCTTTCTCAGAAGGACAGGAGGGCATTTAACATGTAAAATTTTGCTTCTCTGTTACCCTTCAAGCAACTTAAAAAACCATTTCTTTTTGTGCTCTTGTGACAGACTGCTCTGTACTTGATCATGTTGGGACACTGTTAAGGAAACAACGTACATTGCTGAAACTGAGCCCGGCCCATAGAAAGTACTCAGTGATTATCATATCCTTGTTATTACTGCCTCTCTTCTCACTTTCGGGGCCAGAAGCTAATGACTACCTCCCATGTGGATAAACCCACTCCCTAGTTCATACCGTGGCTGTGGGTCAATGACTTCTCTGGCTTTGGTTCTCTGAATAATGGGGATAAGAACCCCGACCTCCTAGTACTATTGTGACAATGCGAGGACATTCATTATGTAAAGAAGGCACCTGGCTTTGTCCTTGGCATAAAGCAGGCACTCAGAAAACCTTTGTTCTCCATGTCCCTGCTCTCTGTCAGTGTTAATAAAGATCCATTTACATGATCATTAAGGGAAAATCTGCATCCCACAGCATTTCCTCATATTTATCTCTGGAGGAATGTTCTAGAACCCACTTCCTTTTTACCTTCTTTCAGGGTTTGACAGACTAGGTTTACACAAAGAGGAGAATGGTGCCAGGGGCCATGTAGATGGTGCTTACCTTGACAGAGCTCTGCTTGGCACTTTGAGTGACAATTACTTTGAGAAACTTAGAAGACAGAGTTAAGGAAATGTTGGCATTTTTAGGATCTGGTGGCAGGGGACCTCCAGGCACAGGGACTGTACCACTGCTAAAGAGGGCTTTAGCCTAGAGAAAGAAAGGCAGAAAAGTCCGTGTCATCATGTGTGACTAACAATTCCGGCTGAGATTTCGAGGAGTGACGTGGCCCCCTGTGAGCACTGCAGTGGATGAGAATGATGACAGCAGTAGACCTACCCAGCCTCTGTGTTAGGGGCCTATGGGAACTTGGGTTTGTGGAGACTGGAGAGTAGGAACCTCTTATAAAGGAGGAAGCACTGCTCTGATGTAGTCCAACTTGGGCCCACGAGGCTTTTGATTGTCTAAGAGAAGCCACAGAACCTCACTCTTCAGGTGGATTCCCCTATTTAAGGGTTCTTTAAGTAGCATATATTTCATGAGTTCAGGGATGTCTCTGTTGTAAGCATAAAGAACACTTACACAGTAGGAGATAGAAAGACCTCGTGTGGAAATCCTGGAGCTTTTAACTTCGTACTTGAACAAGCCAGTAGCTGCGGATGAGAGGAAAGAGTATATAGAGAGACCCCTGCCACCCCTGGGCTCTTGGTGGCCCCGCCCTCCAGGTGGGGGATCAGTGTGGACACCTCTTGCTTTCTTGCTCCCAGGCAGAAAGCTGGTACCCTACTGGCTTTTCCACATTTCTGGGAGGAGGCTTCAGGGAGGAAGACAACACAAGGGCTTGGCCCTATTCTTGTGCCAAAACCTCAAGTGAGAGGAAAAGGCTTGTTGCCCAGGCCCCAGTTTCATCTACTCTGGGACTTGGAAAATGTTACCAGTTTCCTGCTTTGACTGTCTTGGCAGCCACTGTCCCACTATGTCCTCTCATTCCTGTCTCCCAGATATATATGGGGACATTGGAGGGAATTTTTGCTTCTCAGCTTCCCTGGAGTGAGGACTGGGAATGCTCCTTGCTCCAACTCTATACACATGTGCACTTTGCAAACCACTTGGGTGGTAGGGTTAACAAAGAGACTTCTAAGGGTCTCTTTACCCAGCTCTATCCTAGAGAATGAGTCACAGTGATTCAGAGAAGCCTGTAGGTTGCCACATTTTCTGCCATGAGGGTGCAGAGGTTTGAATGCTTGGAGGTACGTGGTATTGTAGCTCACAGCCCCATACTCTCTGCTCTGCCATCTGGTGGGATCCCAGAGGAGCCCTCCATTGACCCATGAGCCTCAGGAAGGTCTGGAATTTGTACTCACAGTTCTTGCATTCGTTGAAATCACTGAACTCAATGTCACACGATTCTGATTCTTGAAACTGTGAAATCACCACCAGTTAGCCTTGCCAAGGAAGTGCAGCAGGCCTGTTCTCCTCCTCAGCCCAGCTCCTCTCCCCGTTCTCCCCGTTCTCCTTCCTTTCTTTCAGTCCTATTTCTTGGACTTCTCTTTGACAGAACTCATCCTCTCCCTCTCCCAGCCAGAGGCATTATCCTGTCCTGCTGCTGGGTCTTTGGGGTCAGAAGGCCTGACTGATTATTTCCTTCTTGAGTCTCTCCCAGCATCAGGCTACATCCAAGGAAAGGACTCCTCCCTGACTTTCTCCCAGTAACCTAGCCCTCTGAGGTGGTGCTTTCCTCTTTCTTAGGACTTACATTTTCTTCCATAGCGACTGTCAGCAATTGAGAAATGATGTTGTCCAAAGGCAGAGGCACAGGGATGGTCCCTGACAAAGTACCTGTGAGCCTGGGAAAGATGTGGAGAACCATGTGATTTTTGCATTTCTAGATTTTGCCCAGACATTGGGAAAAAACCCATCTACCGATGAAACAGCTGCGTGATGTCCTGCTTCCTAATTTGTACAAGCACCTGAGTCCTTTTGTCTACAGTTTCAGTCATTAAGGAAGATGCAGCGATACCTGGGAAGACTGCCGATGCCTGACATCTGACCCAGCAATCCCATGCAGAGGGATTTATCCTTCAGATACCCATTGAAAGTGAACAGACTTGTCTGGGACCTTACTAGTTGGAGTTGGATACAAAAGTTAATAACTGAAAAATACAATGCTTCTTTAATAAAGGACTGTTAAATCGCGTGCCTCTTCATAATGGAATGCTAGGCCGTAAAAAATGAAGAAGCTATATATGAATGCAACAGATTCCAAGCTCTTTTTTTAAGTGAAACAATCCAGAGTCCAGAAAGGTGTATAAAATATCTGCCCCTTTTAGTGTGTGTACACATACACGCAGCTGCACACATATAACATTGCTGAAAGCCAGCAGAAGAGACTAGATTCATTGGTTCTTTCCAAGAAGGATAATTAACCAGTTGGCATCAATGGGTGGGAGGAAGACTTTTCACATGGCTTTTCGTATCTTTTGAATTTTAATCTAAGTAGATGTATTGTTTATGCAAAAAGAACAAAATACAAAGAGTATGTCTAGCATAGTACAGGCAGAGTGAGAGAAGACGGTTTTCAAACAGTGGGCTGTTCCCAAACAGAGACCCCTCTCTGAGCCTCCATTTATAGATCATTCAAACCATTGGATTGGCCAAATTCATCTCTAAGGGTGGCATTAGTGGGGACATTCTGGCACACACTGATCTAGAAAATGAGAAAAATGGTTTTACGTACATTTCCACTATCTGAAGAGACACTTTGTTGACCTTGATGTCCTTGTCCTGGACTTGGAGGTTGACACACTGGGTGTTGTTTGTGGAAAGACCAATTTTCAGGGTTACTTCCCCATGTACTTGATATCCCAGTATGCTGACTACAGGTCCTGCTAGGCTGTGGAGAGCAAGATGCAGGTGAAACCAGACTTGGCTCCAGGATGTCCCTCAGGCCAACCAATAGGCATTTGGGGAGTCAGCCTTGTGTGTTTGTCTAGATTAATTGAGAGAGGGAAAGTTTGGTGCTTTCCAGTGAGGATGCCTCAAGGTTGGCCTTCCTCCTCTACACAGGATTCAGAGCTTGGCTCATGGGAGGATGTTGGAACACAACCCAGATCCTCGCCATTGTGACTGGGGTCCTGTCGAATCCTGTGAGAAAACTCCAGGAGATGGAGGGCAAGAGTCTTCCTGGGTCAATGCCCGGAATAAACATGGGAGGATCTCTGGGGTGTTTTCAGGTCCTCCTTTAAGATAGATCTGATAAGTGTGGAGAATCCTTAACTTGCTCCTGTCATTTAAAGCTAAGAGATATTGTCTGGGGCTCCTGGGTGGCTCAGTGGGTTAAAGCCTCTGCCTTCGGCTCGGGTAATGATCTCAGAGTCCTGGGATGGAGCCCCACATTGGGCTCTCTGCTCAGCGGGGAGCCTGCTTCCTCCTTTCTCTCTGCCTGCCTCTCTGCCTACTTGTAATCTCTGTCTGTCAAATAAATAAATAAAATCTTAAAAAAAAATAAAAAAAAAGCTAAGAGATATTGTCATTTAAAGCTAAGAGATAATCATTGTTTTTCACTTGTTTCACTTGATTGCCTGCATGTAAATCACATCTCACATGTAGCCCGTGCCTTGCACATAAATCTATATCCTGTTTGTAGTTGGATCTTGTAGAAGGTATAAAAGAAGTGATCGTAAGAAATAAAGACGTCTACTGATCATCAGTTGGTAGTCCCCCCATCACATGGGCCCGATCACCAGGATCCCCACCTCGCAAAGGTGACAGGAGGCATTCAGTAAACACTGATAAAGTCACTCTCCTCACCAGCCTTCAAGAAGTCTTTTGTTGGTGTCCCCAGGCCTGTGTGTAACAAGATGCCCATTATAGTCTACGCTTCTGTGCCCAGCATCCCCAGCTGTCTGTTGCGTAGGTGACAGCATAAGAAAAACCCACCATTTACCAGAGCCAGGTCTCATTAACGCCGGATGTTCTGGAGAAGACAAATAGTTCTCCGTGATACTGCTAACTGTACTAGTTACAAATGTGGGTTCTGGAGACACAATGCCTAGGTTCAACTCTGTCAGCTGCGTGACTTTGAGCAAGGTTTGTAACTGACTTTGTACTGGTTCCCTAGTCCAGAAATAGGACTGCTTTTTTGACGAGGTCGTCAGAAGGGTTCAGGGAGTTCAGAGTGCCTCAGCTGAGTGCCTGGCTGGAGCTTACTCAGTTTTTAGTGCTGTGTGTGTTAGTCCAAGAAGCCTTCTCCCCAGTGTGGATTGCCTTTTGCTCTCATGTCTTCTTGTGTGCCTTGGGCTTGCACTGTTAACCTGTTTCTCCCCACATGCTGATGCTCGATGAGGCCAGGGACCGACATTAGTGCTCCTTATGTGCCCAGCATGACATCTGGTAGGGAGCTGTGTATTAAGTACCCACTAGGTGGATGAGTCCTCTCTGTCCCCCATTACTGCCTCAGACTGTGGTGTTTGTGGAGTGTGCTGATTCTCCTCGGAGATTCCAGATTATTTGGAGTCATAATACCAGTGTACATGTCATTCTCTGAGGTTTCTCTCTTCATTGCCCATGTATAAAATTGTGCAGATTTCACATGGAAATCTGGATTTCTGGCTGTGCTTACACTATTTGAGGATGGGGCTCCATGGGGTCATTCTCCTGCTTTGGTCCTTTGGGGCAGAGGAGAGAGACAGCTGTGCTTGGTGTCCAATTTATCCCATCCTCAAGCATCCTACCTTATTCTATGTTGTCTCTGCCTGACCCTAGGACTCTGGATCTTAAGTCTCTAGTCTGTGCTGTCCCAGTTGACTGCTTTGAAAACATACTCACCCCTTTCCACCTATGATGGCAGTAGTTGTGGCTTGGACAAGGATCCCACCACCTGTCATGGTTGATGTCATGTTTTCCACAGTCACGGCTTGAATATTTAATCTGCAAAGTGACAATATCATGGGTCAGTCCTGGCTCCAGAAATCAGACTGGGCAGCAGGAGAAATACCCTCGAAGCAGCCAGTTAACAACTTACCAACCCATCCATCTCTGGGACTCCCTAGCCCTCTTCCCCACGCTGCTCTTTAAGCTCAAGAAATCATGAACGTATTTCCCAATGAAAGGGCACCCTTTCAGCATAGAACTAGAATATTGCTTCATGAAAATGTGGTTGTCCCTTTCCATGAGGT